GTTGGAGCAGCAGACGAAACTGGAGCAGAGGAGGAGGTTGGAGCAGCAGACGAAACTGGAGCGGCTGAAGAAGTTGGGGCAGCAGATGATGCTGGAGCAACAGAAGAACTCGATGAAGTGCTTGGGGCAACGGAGCTCGAAGAGCTTGAGGCTGAGCACAGAGTAATAGCGGTAATCAACGAAGTAGAAACAGTACCAACCAACGCGGTTTGAGTGGCTGTTTGGGTCACAGTATTAAATATCGTAGTTTGGAAGGTATTTAAAACAGGAACCCCAAAGATAGTAGTCGATGCTGAAATATAAGTGCTGACCTGAGAGAGGGTGACGACATTCGTCTGGAGTACCACGGTGCTATAAGTGTAAGCAGATTCAAGGATCTCTTCAACCACCGTACATCCATCAGACTGAATGGAAGTGAGAGTGGCCGTTACGACGCTAGGAGGAGGCGTGGTACCCGTACACGTGCCCCAAGTCATACAAGTACTGAACACTGGGTAACCCAAAGCGATGCAGCTCGAGGTAACGGTGTCAAGGGTACAAGTCAAGCCGTTAATTGGGTTAAGCCAGAATTCTGCGGACCCCAAAATGATTGTGGTAGGATTTGCCCCACCCGTGAAACTCGTGGTGTAGCCGATCAAGGAGTCGAAACAGTTGAGCCCATCAGTAAGATCCACGCCGAGCACAATCGGGTAGGTGACAGTATCATTGTAAGAAAGGAGGAAGCCACCCTGGGTAGGGTTAACAACCACATTGAGAGTGGTGAGCGCAGAAACAGCGGCGGTCAATGAACTGACGTCAAAGCCAGTGGCTTCCAACGGATCGTCGAAGGTAAAGAACCACTGTACCATGTACGTGTATGTTCTCACCCCATTTCCTAAAACAGCAATATCGGTGGTAGAAGCGGCATAGAAATCAGCCGTGGCCAGCCAGGCAAGCAGACCCAGACCACCGGAAGTAACAAAGGAGTTACAGAGGTTGGTTGGGGTTGGGTTGGTGATAGTGGTGGAAACAGTGGTGACATTGATAACGGCAGTGGCCACCTGGAATAAGAAGGGGACCAAAAGCAACGGAGAGAGTCTCATAATGATGGTCGTTTAAGGCTCGGGGAACACCTCTTACTGTCCTACTCATTGCGGCATCCTTCGTCTTATATAAATTCTAGATAATCACTTGGTATTCGTAATCCCTTCAAAATAAACCTTAATGTAGCAGAAACGCATCCTAACGACCGGGCCACTCTGGTTTCACCGCATAGGTAAGGTATGGAGCGATAGATTCGTCATAGAAGGGAATAGCAAGTGGGTGCGTTGGTTTATCCCTGTTCGATAAAGAGTCGATGCTGACGTCTACATGCATATCCCTAAGACTTCGAATTTTAGTTCAATCTCAAGATGCAGAAAATCTGTGTCTTGTAGGGATCGACGCTAAATGCATAATGCTTCACACGGAATTAGGATTTTCTGACAGGATAAATATCTTTAGTGCGGATCACGAAGTGGCTAATAGACGCTCTTAGGCAGTTACAGGGATCAAGGAAAACAAAGCACAATCTCAAGGAAAGAAGTCTCCGTCGCAAGCCGTACTCCGGCGGGTTGAATAGCCGTTCTTGCTAAATACATAAGGTGGACCAGTGTTTCTGTAGCTGGTTTTTTACGGGTCCATCCTCTGGGGCTTGAAAGGATTGCATATACGCGTTTGACTCTGGATTCAGGAAGAAATACGTGAATCAACGGGAGAGGTGCGCGTAGTTCATATTATAGCCATACTCTATACTTGCTAGCACTCTGAAAATACAGAATCCAGATCACCTACGAACGGTTTGACCAGGTTCCTCAGTTATATGCTGGAAAACTAACGAGTGAAATTCAGCGCTAGTAACAACGCACGTTAATTAACGAGCAATCTCCTACAAACCCTGTCAGGAGACTGGACCGTCTCTGTTGGAATATGAATGCATGCATATGGCATGGGAGTTATCGCCATACGTGCAGGATATGGGACGGTTCAGCTCTATAATCCCTGGAAATGTGCTGTATGGATCACTGACCAAGCCGGTTCCTATATAAATATACGGATAGCCACCAAGGGATATAGCCTGTTTTATATAGGATAACTGCAGTAAATGATAGTTTCAATAGCAAAGTTGTAAATTCTGTCCTTAAGCCCTTCTCACTTGTCTCTCCGTGGCTCTTTCTTTTATACCATACTCGTCTGTTTCTCCTCGTTCAGCCTTTGAGCTTTCGATTCATACGATGGGTTAGGCTTTGTTCGATTTGATGGCAAGCGCACCGAAGTTGCGGCTGGTATGTTTGAGCAAGGGCTTGGGTCAGTGAGTAAGTACAGGATAATAATAATACGCTAAGGTTATGCGAATAATGCGTGCATAGCCATATAATCAAGTACGACGGTGCTAAATATATATTATTAAAGGGTTAATGTTCATGCTTTCGAACTTGAGCCAGTATATATATGTACATGTGATGCGATTATTAAACATGGGCAGAAGAGGTTCAATATATTCATATGTATCCTTCAGAACTACATGTGTATATGCTCCTGCAAATTCGCTTTCGAGTTTATAATTAATTGATAATAAGGATAATTGGTTTAGGCTTTGAAATATTGCATTACTGATTATATATATATATTATTAGTTGTGCATGAATATGCCTATTCTGCAATTCATCAAAGTTGACTACAAAATATATCTTTTGTGCTGCTTTATACAGCTACTTAAAACATAAGTAACACTCATATGCTATATCAATTACACCACAGCATCTAATAGCGACTTTCGTGTGGGTCACTACGCTTTCCTCATAAACCAGTTTCGAAGTTTTCGTGGAATTTGCAAGTCTTGGAGTATCCTGCATAGACATGTATAAATATGTCCAAAAGGGTGCACCCTGGCAATATTAAATATATTAAGCACAATTGGTAAAACACTGACAACCACAATTTCAAGCAATTAATCTGTAAAGTATACCCGAAAATGCATACGCCAAAGCTCAGTTATATTTGAGCAGGCTTGGCAGGGTTTCTCCAGCTTTTCGCGATGACCCTGAGCATTTTTGACACGACCCTAGATCTGCATGCTGCGGGGAAAGGAAAAAAAAACCCCCTCGAAAAGCGGCCATAAGGCTGACCTCCTCCCCGCATCTTCTTCACTTGCTCTGATCCAAAGCAGGGCTCTATCCCTCTTACAATGCCATCTAATTCTCTTGACCCCGTTGTGGTGAGCTTAGAAGACTTAAAGTCGTTCAAGTGCGACCACTTGTTGCCAGAGGCCTTCGGGCCAGACTCCCTTGGGATCATCATCGTGAAGGACGTTTCTGACGGATATGAAGCCTTAAGGGCCAAAGTCTTGAGGTCCTCCACCACCTTGGCCAATTTGCCGCCCTCCATTTTAGAAGGTTTGGAAAGCGAGGAGAGCAAGTGGATTGTGGGGTGGTCCTGCGGTAAGGAAAAGCTCGCCAACGACACCCCAGACTTATTAAAGGGTTCCTACTACGTCAACTGTGCGTTCCACAAGGACCCAGATCTTGAGGGGCCTACTCCCGACCAGATTACTGGGCTTGAAAATAGTTACACGCCCTACACAACGCCTAACATCTGGCCTGCCGAGGAAGACATCCCGGATTTCCAGCAAGACTTGAAGAAGTTGTGCAATTTGATCATTGACGTCGCTGAGGTGGTTGCCGCTGCCTGTGACAGATACTGCAAGCAACACATCGATAACTATCCGTCTGAAACTTATTTGACCGGCATCGTGAAGAATTCGTACACCACCAAGGCGCGCCTTTTGCACTATTTTGCCTCGAAGGATCTGAACGAGCAGTGGTGTGGCGAGCACTTGGACCACTCCTGTCTCACTGGTTTGACGTCTGCGATGTTCCTTGACGAGGCAGACCCTGTGGGCAGTGAGCTATCGCTGTCGCCGGACCCAGAGGCGGGGTTGTATATCAGGAACAGGGCCGGGGATACCGTCAAGGTTTCGATTCCTCGCAACTGTATAGCGTTCCAGACCGGCCAGTCGTTACAGGAAATCACCGAAAACAAGTTTAAGGCCGTTCCGCACTATGTCCAGGGGTGCAAGGTTCCGGGAGTATCCAGAAGCACGTTGGCCGTGTTCTGCCAGCCAAACCTCAAGGATGTGGTGAACTTGCAGACTGGTGAGACTTTTGCCGCGTTTGCTGATCGGATTTTGAATGCCAACCATTAATACGAGGAGAGGCAGTTACTATTTCACTCCCACGATAGTCAGATACTTTACTATCTAGCAAACCATTATTTATTAGTTGCAAATTCTTGTAGCGGCAGTTTCTTTATACAACTGATTTGTAGTAACCATAGCACTACGATGGAGATGCAAGTAGGACGGGTTTATGTACACGCTGCCCGGTATTGATCCGGTTGTTTAAGAGAAGGTGAATTCCAGGACAACTCCTCGAAGGATTAGTAGAAGACTGGAATCGCAAATATATCAAGGAATGGGTTGAACTTATCACTATAGGAGATATGAAAATCACCTGAAAGGGCCAGACAAGGTGTAGGTGTAAAAATTCTACGTACAGGCAGTAAACTCCTTATATAAGCACAATATAGCAATCCCCCAATATCATCCATAAAAGTGATCCTGGACTGAAGCTACAATAGGGAATGCATCTTGGTTAAATAAAGTCCCAAACACCCTCTATCATCAACACAGCCTCTTGGAAACGAGGCGCATGCCATGCTCTTGTGGCGAGTGCGCGGCACGGTTGTAGATAGTATGTGAGCACTAAGCTTTTGTCTCAAGATGCATTCCGTATTGTGGCTTCAATCCAGCCTCCCAACCTGGCTTTATCAATACTTGTCGCTTAAACCAACACTTATACGCACAACTGGCATCCATCATACTACACCCTATACGATGACACTGGCTCGCCCTGTCTCCATCCCCGAAACGCTGGTCGAAGGCTCATACACAATATATAAGATCCACACGAAGCTTCCGTTGCGAAACATCATCCTGGAAAAACGATACTCCGAATTTGCCAGTCTCCGAGCCCAGCTCGAGGACGAAGCTTCCAGTCCCATCCCGTACAGACTCCCGCCCAAGACTTTGCTTGGCTTCAGGAAGAGCACTGACCGTGTGACGGCGGAGCGGCAGGTGAGTCTCGCCAATTGGTTGAACGAGTTGTGGAACGACGCGCGCTACTGCAATTTGAAAGGATTCAAAGATTTTTTGAAACTCCCCGCGACGTTTGACCCTACGAAACAGAAGCCCAATGCGTTTGTTAGCAAGGGTGCGGTTTCGCTAGGCTTGTTGAAGGAGGTGGACCCAAAAAGTGTGACCCCGGAAGCCTGGTTGTTGCAGCTCCGCGACTTGAAAAAGTTGGTGTATGACGCTAAAACAGCCCTGCACGCCGGGGAGACCATCGAGGCCCGCCGGTTGGACTTGTTGGTGGCCAAGAACATGAAGCTTTTGGATGCTTCGCTAGCGTACATTGACGCGGAGTCGAAGCTTTCAAAAAGTGAGATAAGCAGACGGTGGGGGCTTCTTCGTGGCGTGGAGAAGGATAGGGTGATAGCTGAAGATAGTCAGCCACGGCAGGAGCTCTTTGGGACTTCCAGGCGCATCCTTGGAGGCCCGTCTCTGTTCCGTCCCGAGGAGACCGCACAGACGTTGCCACACAATAACCAGACGTTACTACAGGTGCACAAACAGGTGATGTCCGAACAGGATCTGGAATTAAAGTCTTTGCAGACGCTTGTGTCCAAGCAGAAGCACATGGCGGTGGCTATCAACGAGGAGATTGCACAGCAGAACGAGCTTTTGGATGAGTTGGACGAAGGGTTGGACACCACAGAAAAAAAGTTAAAGTATGCCAGAAAGAAGACCGGGCAGATTCTCAATTAAAGCCACAATTACTCTTGTGTGAAGAGGTTCAACGTGCACAGAAGGTGAATATTAGGGGTAAAACTGTGGAAGCAGTCTTGGGCTTTATGTATGTCCATGTCCAAGACAAGCAAATCCTTTATGTGAAAGGGATATATGAATTACTCTATTTCTAAGGCTCTAAATAAAGGTCCGGAAAAGGTCTGCTAGGCCACCAAAGATGCAAAGCATATTTAAATACAAACCAGTACTGAATTCTACTAATAAGTTTTGGAATAGCTCAAGGGACTGGTAACTTGAACAGTGCCTGAAATATCTTACCAAGGGGAGTCTCACACTATCGGTCAGAGACCACTCACATCCCTAGTTAGGGAGTAACGCTTCGATAAACGCTGTTACCTGGCGGCTGCTAACTTTAAGACGATAGGTTATAGAGCCTCGTTGTCTTTGATACCGGGAGCAGTTTTAAAGAGCATCAGAAACCGTAGTAATTCCAACGGTGGTTGGAGACAGGTCACAGCGCTAAGTTTTCGTAACCTCGGACACCTGCTAACCTGCATGCATGACGTCTTTCGACTTACCAACACGTGCTCTCTCGGTGGTGGAACGTTCCAAAAATAGACTCCCGTTCCATGTACGGTGGTTTTCAAAACTATCGGGTTCTACGAGCACGCTCTCTCTCCACCAATAGCTTTTACACGACTGAGACCTGAATAACCATAAATCCAATATCTGATAGCACGGGGCTATCTACCACTGGAAATGGTTGTTTTATTACAAATCTATACGCTAGTTTCTCGGTTTGTCCGAGAGAGAACTTGCTTGCAGTCTAGACTATTGTTGCGGCTTGGCATTCTTTTTGCACGGTAAATTTCTACGCATTCCGCGGGACAGAGCAGTCTCACTCTGATTAATTACACAATCGTTCTAGCCTTACAACGATTCAGAAAATATTAATCACGACATTAGTATACTAGACAACCGTATTTAAACGGAGCCCGAAAACTATTAGGTTGCTTTCTATCCCTCAACCGATCAGAGGCGCTATCACGTGATTCGACTGGAGCGATTGACCGATGTTTGTTTACCTGGAAAAAGAAATCCCAAGTCTCAGTGCGCCCCTCGGGTGTTCCTGCTCTTACAGATTCATTTCGAGAATATTTACAAGTACAAACACTCTTTCACGTTTATTTCTCTTTCTTCTATCTAGACCTTTACTAAAATGCAATTCACCACTTTATCTGCTACCACTCTCTTAGCCGTTGTCTCCTTCTTGGTTGCCCCAGCCGTGGCCACCCCACCAGCCTGCTTGTTGGCTTGTGTCGCTCAGGTTGCCAAGTCTGCTTCTTGTTCAGGCTTGGACGATTTCAGCTGTCTCTGCGAAGATAACGGAGCTGCTGTTGAAAAGTGCTTGAACGATATTTGTCCTAACAACAACGCTGATACTGCCATCCTGGCCTTTGAAAGCTCCTGTTCTGCCCAAGGCAAGGACGTTAGTGCTGATGCCAAGTCCTCTTCGTCTTCTGCCTCGTCTTCTGCTTCCTCTTCCTCTTCTGCCTCCTCTTCGTCTTCTGCTTCCTCTTCGTCTTCTGCCTCCTCTTCCTCTTCTTCCTCTTCTGCCTCCTCTTCCTCCTCTTCCTCATCTTCCTCCTCTTCCTCTGCCTCCTCTGCCTCTTCTATCTCCTCCGCCTCTTCTACCTCCTCCGCCTCTTCTAAGGCTTCTTCTATCGCTTCGTCTGTCAAGTCTGAAGTCACTTCTGCCGTCTCCTCCGTCAAGTCTGAGGTTTCTTCTGTCGCTTCGTCTATTAAGTCTGAAGTCACCTCCGCGGTCTCCTCCGTCAATTCCGAAGTCAGCTCTTTCGTTTCTTCCTTGACCGCCACCTCTACTCATCCAACCGTCTCTTCCCACACCGGTGTTGCCAACGAGCAGGTTGCCAACGTCTTCGGTGTTGTTGGTGGCTTGGTTATCGCTGCCTTGTTGTAAGTTTAGACCTAAGCTCGTTTCTCCCCTCTGATATTTTGCTACAACTTAGAAGCGCTGTTCTCTAACTATAATTCTTAATAGATTTTAGTCGGGTTTATAAAAATACTGTAGATTGGGACTGATACACATTTCTGAAGGGACCCCCTTTGCTTCGACGTTGGCCGTTTATGCTCGTAACCTGAAAAAACCTCATAGTCACGTGAACCTGAACTATTTTTTCACTGTATACAGGTCTTCACTGAAACTAAATCAATAAAAGACCATTCGCGGACAATACCCTGCTATGAGTAAAAACCCGGCTTACACCCCATATAAGCACTTTGATGAGGTCCTTGAGCTCAAATCCCAGTTTTTTGCCTTTGCACCCGAGAAAGATGAGCGCCTCCTCGCGATCAACAAGGTCAAGGCATTGATGACAAAGGGGAGATTGCCACATGCCATAGAATGCACATCTTTGCTCACCTCCGCCGTGATGAACGACCCATATTTCAGCGGAAAGGGAGCCACAGACTCGTCCCTCCTTAAATTGACCTACACCATGACGCTTATCCGGTTTGTGAACGGGTTGCTCGACCCGTTCCAGCAGTCAACCCACGCCATTCCGTTACACACGCTTGCAAAGAATTTGAACTTGCCGACCTGGTTTGTTGAGTTAAGGCACCAGGGAACCCACGAGAGCCTTCCGAGCTTGAACATGTTGCGGATGGGGGCGAAGGAGGCGTTGAACTGGTTGTGGCACAACTACTGGTTGCCGTTGGACGAGGACAACCAGCGGGGCGTGAGCGTGGAAGAGGAGGAAATAGACGATATGTCGCCACGAATGGTGCAAAGGCGCAGCGAAATGAAAGAGTTGTTGCGGGAATACCGACGGATCAAGCGCGAGAACTTGTCGCGGGTATTCAAGTTCGGCGACTCCACTGAGACTGGCACAAAGTACTGGAAGGCCGTGAACAAGTTGTTGAAGCTCTATAATAAAGACGACAGCGGCCAGTTTTTCAAAGTTTTGTTGTTTAAGAACGTGATCATCATCACGGGAAAGACCATGAAGTTTGCCCAGTTGAAGGCCTTATACAGCCCGCTTTTCGAGTACTTTAACAAACAATCGCCGGTGGATGAGGTATCTGGAGAGGTGGATGAATCCTTCTACGAGGCTTTTATGATTTCTCTATTAGAAGGCGTAAACGACTACTACGGGAGAGCCGGCGAGTCGGTAATGGATCGTTCGGAGACGCTCTATCACCAATCGGAATCAGAGGTCTCCCAGGCCCTCGAATGGATCAAGTTCTTAATGATTGCCCACAATGCGCCAAAACAGGCCAACCGTATCGCCAGCAGGCATTTGTACGTTCCTATCGAGAGTACCTTGTACAAGCTCCGCGAGTGCGGCAACATCAGCAACGCCATTAAGCTCGAGTTGTTGCAGACGATCCTCGCTTTCTCTAAGCTGGTTCCCAAGGGTAGTTCCAATAAGTTTACCAATGAGGCGGTCAGCAAGGATGAGGTTGAGGAGATTGAGCGTTACATTGAGTTCATGGGCAGGTTTTCCGGCCACGAGGAACTCATGGAGGGTAAATCAGAGGAGGCTGAGGTCAAGAGAGAGGCCCTGCCGGTAGATGATATTACCAGCGATTTAGCGCAGTTGAAGAAAAGAATGAGGTTGGCGATGGAAGAGTCCAGGGCCGCAGCTGAAGAAGAGGCCAGCCAGAAAAAGGCGCAATCGGGCAGGAGAAGTGTCACCACAAACCTGGTGAAAGCTTTTGAGAAGGTGGACAGCTGGTTTGCATATGCCTTTGGGGAGGAATACGACTAGAGGAGTCTTGATTCTGTAAAGATTTACCAAAATATTTCAGGGGCGTAGGATGTAGGGAAAAATTGAATTAGCGAGGAGAGATTGATCAACAGTACACGGCTAGAGCGAAATTGGGATCGGTTTAGGGTCACCCAAGCCTAATGAACCTTCAGACATTCACATATTTGATCCCAGGGGTAATTCAAACCTGACGTTACACAGAGAGTCCCAGTTGGGACATCTTGGATTACGTAGCTTTCAGCGGGAATCCTTTTACAGACAATATCATACTTGGCAACTATAGAATCATTGATTTTTATCCTATGAAAATCCTTTTGAAAACACTCTTAGGATATGCAAGGTCAGAATGCAACTCGATGATAACTCGGAGTCGCAAAATATCCCGTCCTCTGGATCGAGAAAAAAAGCTCCAAGTTTTAGTAACTCCTAGCTTACGCTGCTGCCCTTCACTTACGATTTAGCTCGTCATTTCAAACAGATATAAACCCAACTAGACCGTAACCCCCTCCTTCTCCTTGTTACTGCGCCGGATTCAAGCTCTTGAGAGACATGGCCACACCGTGGACGTTCAGATGGTTCACGGTTGTCGACACACTGCTGGTGTGCGCGTGAGCTCTCGGGCGAGCCGCCTTCTTTGCGGCCTGGAGCCGGAGCTGCTCGTGCTGCTGTTGAACAACCTTAAAACCCTCGAGCAACTCATTGATCCGCTTGCGTTTCATCGATACAGTTGTGATGGCCACGGGGTGCACGGGGGCCAAGCTAGTGAGCGAGTTGACAACCGCAAGTCGGTTCTGCAACGCGGTAAATGTGGACGTCTGAGGCAACAACATGAGCAAGCCGTACAACGACTTGCAGAGATACGGGTGTTTTTCAGGTTCGAGCAACTGAAGTCGCATCTTCATAAATACGGGTGATTCAAGCAACTGGACCAAAATATCCAACTGGGTCAACATGTTGAAGTTGACCTCCATGTCGGCAAAACACTGTACAATCAGATACGCAAGCTCGTAGTTGGCGGTAAGGAGGCAGAGCGACAAGGCCAGCGGCGCGTTGTGGCTCCAAGCCTTGAACAAGGTGGAGAACACACCCCAGTCGTCTGCCGCCTTGAGTTTGCGGCGCAACTCTGCCAACTCGGACGCGGTAACCAACGTGTTGTTGAGCATCTGGATAATGCGTGAGAGAAAATCCAAGTTAGTTTCGCCGCTAAGGCCCTCGGCGATCGTCTGGTAGATCTTGTCGCTGTCAAGCGACTGGCACAACTTGCGCAAGATGAACTCGTATTTGTCGTTCGACAAGCTGAGACGGTCGTTCTTGAACAACGCGATCAAGTCGGCAATGAACTCACCGAAGAACTGCTCGTCGCCCTCGGAGATCTGCGAGAGGAGCTGAAGGATCTTGACAATCACGTCGGGCGAAGAGTCGATGAGCGAGCGCAACAAGTCGCCCACGCGGATCGCGCGCGACTCGAAAAAGCGCGCGGGGCTCTGTGCGTGCAATACAATCAACCATTCCAACGCGGCCACGCGTGTGCGGTCATGCTCTGTCATGAACTGTGAGAATGCCGCATGGATCGTCGCCTGGAGGTTCACGCTTTCGAAGCCCACCAAAGCGCGGAGCGCCGCGTCGACCGCGCCCGCGTTCGTTGCCAAGTCAAAGTTGTCGCGCGACAAAGTCGGCAACAACAACGTGAGAATCCGCGGGAGGAACTTGGGAAAGCTGTCGGGCGCGATCTGGAGCAACTCCTCGAGCCACTTCAACACCGTAAACTCGATCTCGAGGTTGTTGGAGTCGAGAGAGTCGACGAGGATCTCGATGAGTTTGGGGTAGTCAATGTAAATATCCTGACCGTTGATAAACGAGCCGTCAGAATAGGAGGCCTGGGAGACCCGGTCGTCCTGGTCACTGCCGTCCTGGTCACCATCTTCCTGGGCGCCGCCGTCCTGATCACCGCCGTCCTGATCCTTCACGGATAATTCCCCGAGAGACTCCCCAAGAGACCTCTCACCACTGGCTCCGCTTTCCTTCATAGCTTTGACATGTTCCTTTACCTGGTGGATACTTTTAATCTCCTTCAAAAAGTTGTTCAACATCTTATGGGTCTCAATCCGCACGTCCTGGTGCGAGTCGTCTAAAAACTTGAGCAACCCCTTGAAGAAGGTCGGCATGTACGTGACCAACTCGAGTGCGGGTAAGTCGTCAAGAAGGTCGATCCATGTGAGAAGAAACTTGCGCGCGAACGGGTCCACCGCGTACATGCGCTCCATCAACGTTGGAATAAACTTGACGAGCGAAAACGCAACCTGCGGGTTCTGGGGGCTATTCACCTGGAGTGCGCGCCCGCTACTATCAACTTTGTACAGACTGATATCGCTCGATTCCTTGTGCAATATCGAGACATATGTTACGGCCTTGGCGCAGACAATATCTTTGACCAAACGATCGAGCAAGTCGGCGGCGTTTTTAACTGACAGCTCGGTGTCGGTAACCAAGATGCACAAGATGTCGAAGATCTCATTGAAGTAGAGTAAAATCTCGCCGCGGGCGATCTTTGCAATGTTATAGAGCGATTCGCACGCGTAATAGCGCACGCGCGCGTTCGTGTCGCGGAACGCGACGAATATTGGCCGCACCAACGCCTCAAGATAGAACGCGATAACGTACGGCCCGAGCGCCACCGCAACACCGGCCAACGCCGTGATTGCTCCCATCTTCGCACCCGTCCCGTGTGTGTAGTATGTCAACTCACTGATGATCTTTGTGATCGTCGCCGCGTCGCCGCGCGCTTGCGCCTTGCGTGTGATTGCCTCGATCGCAAGCGCCGCCGCCTTGCGCTTCTCGTAGATGTTATTGGCTAAGTCTTTTTCGATGCTGGGGCCTGGATGGTTAGTGAGGTTCAGGGTTGTTTCATTGGTACATACTGATGATTGACTCCATGGTTGGGGATTGTAGAGGAATAGAGGGGTGAAGGTGGTTTTGATCTTGGCGCTTATCAGCGTACACGTGTAAGGCACGACTGCAGAACGTGCAGGACGTACCTGTACCACAGTTTAGCTGCAATAGAGAGTATACCTTATGGAGGGAATGGAAGTGGTTATAGAGGGAAATGGATAAATAATAAATAGATAAATAATAACTAGATGAATAATAAACGGTATTTGGGTGGATCTAGTATTATAGTGCATGGTAAGTGGGCTAGAAAAGCTATTCGTGCATGTACTTCTATGTTGAGCAAATGTGCATAGAGCCAAAATAAAGGTTAAACCCTGATAACTTGTCCTCGTTATGGTTAATTATATACCTGTGACCGAACTGGTTGATATTGTGCATCAGCAGAGCCATAGGGACGATCTTTCCACACAGATCCCTTTAATCCGTCCCTGGGCATAATTGGTGTAATTTTGCCCAACCACGGTGATCCACCAGTACCTACAAACCTCTCTATACCAAACAAATCAACTAACCCGATCTAGTATATTTATCAGCTTCAAACCCTGGTGTTCAACATCTGGAACCGCTCATCAATCTCCTTCTGGCCTTCGATGTACGTCAAAGTCCGCTTGAAGTGCCGCGTGGTGGCGGCAAACGCGGTGGTGGCGGCTTCTTCGGCGTCGGCGCTACCGGCCTCTAGCTCATTCTCCAAGTTAGTAAGATTCGTCTGGATCAACTCCACCAACCCGTTGATGTACCGCACGTTGATAGATTCGTTTCCATGGATGAAGTAGTATAGACACTGGTTCAAGATTTCCACAAACAACTCGAGAGAAACCAAATTTGCGGCGTTGAACGACGTGGAGGTGGAAAAGACAGAGTCAGCCACGCGCAACGACCGCTGCAAGCACTCGAGTACACGCTTTCCATCATTGACCGCCAAAGTTTCGTCTGCCTCCTCCGGAAGGGTACCCCACCAGAGATGGCTCGCGAGATACACCGCACGACACTGGTCGGTTTTCTTCAAGAGCTTAGACCCATACAACGTGGTTTTGGTGATCAACGTTTCGTAGCTGGCCTTGAACGTCTCTGTGAGGATCAGCAACCGAGTGAGCTTGCTGATGATCATCACCAAACACTGGTACTGGGTGCGCGAGTCCGAAATGTATTCTTCGTAGATGAGGAACGACTGGACAAAGAAGTCGTACGAGATTTCGCACAACGTATCGACCGCCCCGTCAGACCTTGCGAGCTTGAACTTGTAAGCCAAGTGGTTCGCGATGAGCGCACCGCTGAGGTACAACTTGAGACACATCTCGGGGTAGACGTTGGAGTCGGAAACAGAGAGTAGTTCGCTCAGAAGCGTGCCAACGAGTTTGAAGATGTCGACAAGAGTGGCTTCGTTTGCGGGAACCGCGCGGAACCGCCGCGTGAGGCTGAGGGTCTGCTGGATCAATGTCGGATAAATCTGCAACTTGATGCTCGCATTGACCGCGCGTTGCTGCGGAGGCGGCATCGTGGCGGCGCTGTCGACGCTACATAAGCTGCGGTCGATAGCCTTGTAGATTTTCAAGGTGTCAAGCGGGTTTGGAGCGTGGAACAAGTGAAAGATCTTTGCAAACTTTTCGTGCAAAAGGGAAACCTCAGGGGCCTTTCCCAAGGCCTTGGCGGTGACATCCACGCCACTGACCTTATTGGGGCCGAAGTTGTTGCTTACGACAATTTTGAAGTACTCACAGATCCCCAACACATCACCAACGTCGCTGATGCCGGTGGAAAGACCGGTCTTGGAAGTGGCAAGCAACTTGTCAAGGATCTCACCAATGATCCGTCTCTGCAACTTTTCATTCTGCTGGCCCAACAATGCATTGAAGTTTTTCAAGTGCAAGAGCGTGAGAATGTCAGTGTAGTTGACGACTGGGGTGAGGAGTAATGCCAGCCATTCGTCGTCCGCTGCGTTCGCCTCGATTTCCAAGGCTGTCTGGAGAATCTGGTCGACAAAGCCGTAATTCGCGGGGTACATGGCGATGCAGAGTTTGCAGAGAGACGAGAGAATTTTGGAGGATTCGGTGGGAGAGAGAGAGGTGGTGAGGGAGAGCTGGGTGTAGTGGTTGAAGAGGGAGAGGAATAAGTCAGATGAGAAAGATCCAGTAGAAGATTCAGCCTTAACTGGATCTTTTGCCAAGTCTTCCTCAGCTGGATTTTTTATCAAGTCCTCCTTTGCTGGATCTTCCTTTGCCAAGTCTGTCGACAGACTATTTCCTTCGCTGGCAGTTTCTGGTGACTCAGCATTCACGTTAGCTGAGGACTCTGGGTTCTCTTGTGGTTCGGCTGTGGCTTGTACATCTGTGACGTTTTCCTCAGATTTTGTGGTATGGGCTGAGCTTTCAGCACCGCCAGAAATAACTTTAGCAGAGTCAATGCCTTCGACAGTGCCGTTAGCACTCTGGGGCACAAGCGAGGTTCCGGCAATGCCTTCGACAATGCCTTCGACAATGCCTCCGTTTCCTTCGACATACCCCACCAACCTGTCAACCATCCCCACCCAAAACTTGTAATACCCCACCCCCTCGTTCAATTCCAACACCCGATCCAAAAAGTAGTCCATCGTCGCCAAGTGCCATTGGTCCGGAAAAATCTGGATAATCACATCCACCAAGTACTCCTGTGCCAACACATCCCGACACTGCACAATCTGCTCCATCACCGCTGGTAAGATCTGCTCTTTATACACCTCCACATCTACTCCTTCTAACTGAGATAACCTGACTAAGTTCGACCCCACCAAGATCTGGAGCTGCTGTCTCTCGAGCGTGCGCAACGACCTCTGTGACGAATGGCCCTGGTGCTGCAAGCGGACCCACAACTTGTTCATCTCAATAAAGTTTGTGATAATGAACAGGATGGCGTCGGCGGAGTCAGCCTGGTCAATCAAGCCCTTCGTACGCTGCATGAGATAATAACGCAAAAACAAGCCGCGGATTGGGTGCTGTACGCCACGGCACATCTCCAACATGTCGCGCATGACCTCAGCCTTTGGTGCGTCGTCGAGCGCCATGTACACCGTGCCCACAGTAAGCATCAAGTATAGCCGTGGCACCAAGTTGCCCGCGTACTGCACCAACTCGTACAAGTCCGAGAGGTGGTGGTGCGGGTGGAGGCTGCGGAGATGCGTCGCGAGGCTCTCCAATGCATCGTATACGAGGATGTACAATTCATAGTATTGCTTTGGTGTGAGCAGTGATGTGCGGAGCTCGTTAAGGAAGTTGGCAGCGTGCTTGAGTGCGTCCATGAGCTGGTGTCGCTTGCCGAGACTCTGCTCCATCAAGTGGATCTGGTGTTTGATCGTGGCCGTCAGATCCGCGAGGATCTTTTGCTGTTCGGACATGAGGATGAAGCTCGAGGAAGAATGACGGAATGGTCAGTGGCAAGATGACGGCTTTATGGTGTTATCGGCGGCAAGTGGTTGTAGGGAGTCTAGGCGTGCACGACCTGGGGCGCTATATGCCGGACAAAATGACGAAGATGTGGCCGTTAAGGGTAGCGTCTCAAAGTTGGATGTTTTATATAGAGTATTTAACAGAGAGAAATGCATGTAATTGGGGATATACAAGTCAGTTGGGGTCTGAATAAGCTGATGTGGTTAGTGCATGTAGGAATAGCCAGGTTTTACTGCGGTCTGTAGTTATTGACACCACGCAGTGAGTAATATGGGGCTTGCCTATAGGGAGGATTAAGTGGTCATGTTCTCAAAAAAAAGTCGGACCTCCGCCTCCGCCCTGCAAAAGGTTTGAATTATGTACTGAAATATTAGGTGTCATCGCAAATACCGTTTGCAAAAGGCTTGGCCAAGAGTGAGCGGAGACGGAAAGTACACCTTGATCTGTGCAGTACATTTCCAGGGTTCGAGCCAGCTCCGACTGCAAATAAACCATTTGAAGATACCTTGCAAACCAAACCCGAAAAGCCGTGTTGGGGCATTTTGTCTCGTTTGATATTTTACCCTGACAAACTATCTGACAACGCAAACTGATACCTGGTGTGTCAACAAAAACGTGTCGTGTTATAATCGGTGACATCGACTTTGACCTTTTTTTCTTAGACTGGCGAACAATTTGCATTCAATAAATTATCAAAACACGGTGAAAACCAGCTATAGTACATAAATTAGCTCGGTCTGTTCATCCTTAATAAGCCTGGTTAAAGTGATATGCATCGATAATAGTGAAATAACAGTTATTTTCCATAACCCAGACAATGTTAACTGATTAGCATCAGCTTACCATCCTTGTGTGTACCACTACACTGGAATATCGGCAACCTTCCACGTTCATGGCATTCAACCTAATGGTTTACCGAGGGTATGAGTTCTTAGTCCTATCTCATTTCTATACTTAGGATATACAGACACTTCTCTACTTCCCATAATATTACTCTTAGAGCCCACCGCTTCTGCTAGCAAAAGTCTCGTAGTACTCGAGCATCTCCGGGGTGATTCCCCTGGAAATCGTGCTCAAGGCATACTCAAAGTGCTTGTTAACCACCTTTTCGGCCTCCTGATCCTCCATCACCGCGGCGAGCCCAGCCTCCTGCACTAACAACGCCACCTCTGCTCCAGAGCATCCCTCAGTCCTCTCGGCATACTCCTCCAAGCGGACCTCAAGCGGATCCAAACAGAACTTGGCGGAACACTTGCGCAAGATCTGCAAACGGGCTTCAAAGTCGGGCGGGGAAACGTAAATGTGCCTGTCTAATCTGCCCGGTCTGAGTAACGCGGGGTCGATGCTATCGGGACGGTTGGTGGCCGCCACAATGACGACCCCGTTCAACTCCTCCACACCATCGATTTCGTTCAACAATGAGGTCAATACGTGACTGGCGGCCAGGGTGGAGCCTCCATCGTTTCTATCCGGAGACAAGGCGTCGATTTCGTCAAAGAAAATGATGGATGGCGACGCCGCCCTGGCCTTGCGGAAGATTTCTCTGATTGCCCTTTCAGATTCACCCACGTACTTGTTAAAGATCTCTGGGCCCTTGACGGCAAGGAAGTTGATCCCAGATTCGGTTGCAAGGGCCTTTGCCGTAAGGGTCTTGGAGCAACCCGGTGGGCCGTACAACAACAACCCCTTTGGGGCCTTGACCCCCAACTTTACAAATGTGTCAGCCGCCTCAAGCGGCAATTGAACCATTTCCCGCAACTTCTGCTTTAACTCATGTTGGCCGCCGATGTCGTCCCAGTAGACCTTTGGCATCTCCAAGAAGATTTCGCGCATCGCCGACGGTCTGATTTCCGGTAAAGCAGACTCGACATCCGCATAGGTGACCCTCATATTTGTATGGTCGATACCCTTGAGCAATCCACGTTTGATGGCCTTCATAACCGATTCCCGCACAAGTGCCACCAAGTCGGCCCCCACGTACCCGTGGGTCTTGGCCGCCACGGCGTAGATCATCTCAGCGGTCAACTCGTGCTTTTCCTGCGACATCTGCGCAAACTGCTTGAGCATAATATCCCCGCGGGCTTCCAAGTCCGGAATACCAACCTCCACCTCCTGGTCAAAGCGTCCTGGGCGTCTTAACGCCGGATCGATGGAGTTTGGCCGGTTGGTAGCGGCCACCACGCACAACCGGCCGCTGTCACCCATCCCGTCCATCAACGTGAGCAATGTCGCCACAACCCTGCCCTCTACCTCACCGGAATCGTCACTGCTGCGGGACGGAGCGAGGGAATCAATCTCATCGATGAAGATGATCGAGGGCTGGTACTTGCGTGCCTCCTGGAAAATGTCTCGAAGCGCCTCCTCCGTCTCACCGAGATACTTTGAAACGATAGACGGCCCGTTAATGCGCAAAACATGGGCGTTTGTTTCAAAGGCCACACAGCGCAAGAGCATCGTTTTACCAGTACCTGGAGGCCCGTGGAGCAAGACCCCGCGCGGGGGAGAGATCCCGAAGGAAGAAAAGAGCTGTGGCTGGTGCAACGGAAGCTCGATGGTGGAGCGCAAGAGCTCAATCTGCTGTGATAAACCACCGACGGAGGCGTACGAGATGTGGTGAGGAAGGTGATATTTCTGACGGGAAATTTCGGTTTCCAGGGTGAACGTGAGTAGGGCGTCTTGTTTGAACAAAAACACCGGTGTGATCAAATTCGACTTTTCAGAGGGTGGAGAAAGTGTTAGGTTGGCCATATCTGGCATATCATAGTCAATGTCTAGGACAAACATCGTGATGGTTGAAGTTTCTTCCTCAGAGATCTTGATGTCAGTCGTGGTTTGCATCCCTGGCTGGATCACCCCCATGCCATCGAGGATCTTTGCGAGGGATTTACGGGCTTTTGGTGGAAGGTTCTCGGGGTCCATCTCGCTCTTGAGGCCGATCTTAACGCTCTGAGCGTATCCTGGCTGCTCGCGGAACCTTTTAATCTCGATCCTGTCCCCCAACACAAACCCACCCAATCTCCTGTGGGTTTCGCTCAACTGCACGATGCCTTCTTCATCGTCCTCGGTGTCGATGCCAGCCAAAACTCCCACCACTGCGCCCACATCGTGGCCCTCCTTGGTGATTTGCACAAGTGATTCAGTGCTTAACTCAAGCGCTTTGATCGTGGAAGGGTGGAGAAATACCTTGGTGAGTGATTTGGCGTTGGTAACCTTTGATGGGCGCACAATGAACAGCTTCGGCACCTTGGCCGCCTTCTTTGGTTTTTCGGGTTTATCCGCAGGAAGTTCTGGGGCCTTCTTCTTTGCAGACGTGTTGTTCAAGTTTAACTTTGCCATTGGTGCTGTAACGAGATGGAGAAGGTGCTTGGCTGGAATTAAATTTTTTGTATCCGGCATCAAAAAGATTGAGGAATGCGGCTGTGCGGCGGAAAGATGCCACCAGATTAACGGTTACTTACAATATATACGACGATGTTTGTGTTTTAAATGCAAGTTAATCAAGTCGATGAGGTTGAAATATAGATTTAGTTTAGGGTTAGTGGAGGAAACGTGCGTGGTCCGGTTTCAGAGCTGAATGGATGATACATTGCGCATGTGTACGTTCGAATTCTCAAGCTCATAAGCTGGCGGTTTTAAACTGTATCTGTACATGGGCGTGAATGGCCATTAGGGTAGTGCTTGGGCTTTCGGTGCAGGCTCGTTTCGGAATTTTAACCACTTACAAAGGGTAGCATTGGATGCGCCGTTTATTCTGGGATCTTTATATTGGTCAAGCTCACTCCGTCCAGTGCGTTGCATTAGTATGGAAAACCATTGACACTGATGGTTCCGTTTTTTATATCACGTAGTGGATGATACACCAACATTGGTTGTCCATCCCGTGTTATATACCTATCCTTATATGGCTACTCATATAATACCTTATCTAGCTACATTTTCTGACAGTACCATAGGTAATGCGACCACCACCATTGGCTGAAATTGGCAATATCTTTAGTTCTCCTGAGGATTGAAAGATTTTTTGACGGCGACTGAATCAAAATCTATTCCGTTACTCTCTGGAAGCCTCTTTTTTTACGAGCTTCGTAGCTACCGATATACCCGCTCTCTGTACGGCGCTTGCCAAAAATTTCCTGCAGGACACAGCATATCTATCTCATCTCGACGCAAGGTTTCTCATGCAATATGTACGCACTCATCGCGCCGTCTAAAACTTCGAGGCCGAAAGTGCCGAATGATATCCTTAGATAAGTCCGATAAGTACCAACGATGGGGATTGCGACGTCCGATAACCTGTAGCCATTATGGAGGGAACGAATGAGGGAGTGAGTAACATGCTCGAGGTAGCGCCCAAAATCTTGAGGCACTGCTTGAAGCAAGACTTGACATCCAAGAGTTCCAATTGCTTGAATTGCCAGGCCTACTAGGCAATGGCTGCTTTTTTTTGCAGTCCTTGGGCTGAAACAAGCTATTTAAAAAAAACAAACAAACTCTTGACTTCAATTTGATGCACAAGTGGTGGACAGACTACGTCAAGTGGGATAAAGGGTGGGCTTATTTCCAAGACTTTCATGTACTGATATTGCACCTCAGGACTAGTAGCAGCCTCTATATTCTAGAAGTGCTACTGCAAAAGTTTGAGATGCTCTGCCAGTTGCGGATCAGAGTCAACCTCTTCTACTGTGCAGGTGTATTTCCGGAACAGCGAATATGGGCTCCACAAAAGTCGCTCTGGTTGGTAGTTTTAGAAGGTACGACTCACTCTAAATGATACTGTAATACATTAATTGCGAATGGGTAAGTCACTTGTGAGTAGGTAAGTCACTTGATTGGTTAATGGCGAATATCCTTTCGGATCCCAGGGCTGTCAGAAATCCGGTGCTGCATTCCGTATTCAAAAGGGGACCTTGCGCATGCATGATGTACCAGGACTGGCACCTGTCCTGCTTTATTATGAAAATGTCGAAAACAGCAGCCATCGGTAGAGACTAGTATGCCAAATAACGATTTAAATATAGAGATGCTAAAAAAAGCATGGTTAAGGAGCCCCCCTGGCACAAATGGTGAACCCTTAGAATTACGTCACTCCGGGGGAAATGGAACCAAAGATCGTGTTGAACCGCTAAAGTAAACGTGGGAAGTTGACGTGGAACAATTAAATATGCTACTACTTTTGCCTTTTGGACGGTGCATGGTTAATGAGATCTGATATTGCCCAAGTGTTTATGAGTGCATGTAGGGCAATAAAAGTTTTGGGCTCAACCACTCGGTGCTATGCGCCAAGGCTTTTCTACTTAGAACTGTGCACATCCACAAAAATGATTCTAAAGTGTATCCTATCACAGAACTGTGAGACCTTCCAGATACTAGAGATTGTTAATCGTATAAAATGAGGAGTATGCCACCGTCAAAGGTAGCATGTTCGCTTACCCAGCACAATATTTGTCTTTGATATCTATTATCATCAGCAGAAAACCTTGTACTATGAAGTTTACAAATATTAAGGGGAGTGACATGGCTATTGCCATCATAGCGGTATTGCTTTCCTCCACTGCTGTCCAGGCAAAGTACCACACTTACACCGCATCTGAGCACAAGGTTCTTGCTTGTAAGAACACGCTTGACAATGCTGCCCGTTTCTGTGAGGGTAGGAACAGGGATTACAAGTGTGTCTGTACAAACAGCGTGGATTTGGGCTCCGTTTTGTACTGCATTAAGGATAACGACTGGTACGATGATGGCACTATTGCCTTTCTCAGAAATTCCTGTAACGCCTTCGCCGCAAAGGAATTGGCTGACAATTACTTCGACCTTGCTTATGAAAATGCCACCAAGTACATCATTACCCCCGACAAAAGTTTCAACAAGACCCTCATAACCCATGTTCCGATCACCGTGAAGAAGTCCCTTGTCGTCACGCGCCGGGAGGCAAACATGGAAAGATTCAAGAACTACGACTGGGGTATGTTTTTGGGCGGTGGTTTCGTCGCCTTCATGGGGTTTGTCATGTTGGTTTCGTGTATCGCCAACTGGGGTATGTTAATATTCCCAAGCTTCACCCAGAAGATTTGCAACGGGACCATCTCCAAGGCCTACCGTAAGTATGTCACTTTGCCTGCCACCTTCAAAAAGAGCCGTAACGTGCCATTAATGTTCCTTGGCGTTCCAGTCGGTTTGGTTCCAACCAGATTGGAGTCCATCGTTGTTGCCCTGCTCTATGTCTACATGCTCCTCGCCTGTGCCGTTGATTACAGACACGTCGACAACAACCCAATCTGGAAGAGGCCTATGGGTGAGATCGGTAGAGAAGTTGGTGACAGAACCGGTATTTTGGCTCTCTTTACCTACCCATTGCTTATCATTTTTGCCGGTAGAAATAACATCTTACTCTGGGTCACTCGCTGGAACTTTTCTGTCTTCAACTGTTACCACCGTCATTTGGGGAGAATCTATTTCTTGGTGACTATCGCCCATGCTATTGGCATGAGTTTGACCCAGCTTGCTTCCAGCATGGACCGATACAAGGCTACCATGTTGGCTAACTACGTGATTTGGGGTACCATCGCCACTGCTTTCATGGGTTTCTTGTGCGTTCAGGGTATGTTGGTGTTGAGAAGAAAATCGTACGAATTGTTCTTGGCCACGCATATTCTCTTTGCCATTTTCGTTTTGGTCGGCACCCATATCCACCTTGTTCCGTTCGGCTACGAAAATTTCACCTGGGCCTGTGCTGGCCTTTGGGTCTTTGACAGATTTATCAGATTGGCCAGACTTGTGGGATACGGTATTAAGACCGCCACTGTCACCTTGAAAGCCGATGAAACCTTCAAGGTTACTGTCGCTAAGCCAACATACTGGAAAGCCGGCCCGGGGCAGTACGCCTACGTTACCTTTTTCAGAGCCTCTTGCTTCTGGCAGTCTCACCCGTTCACCATCATGTCTGAGGACGAGAACAACATCACTTTCGCCATCAAGGTCAAGGGCGGTTTCTCTCACGGTATCTATAAGCACTTGGCATCGATGCCAGGCCAAACCGCCCAGATCAAGGTTGCAATCGAGGGTCCGTACGGGTTTGCCTCTCCCACTTCCAAGTACGACCAATCCTTGTTGCTCGCTTCTGGTAACGGTATTCCAGGTTTGTACGACCATGCTATTTCCTTGGTCCAGAGCGACCACGGCAAGCAATCTGTCAAGTTGGTTTGGGTTGCCAGAAACTGGAAGTCTCTTTCTTGGATGTATGAAGAATTGGTACTGTTGAAAGGAACCAAGGTGGAAACTATCATCTATATTACCAGGCCCGAGTCTGGTATCGAAGAAGCCTGGGGTACGAGCTCGGCGTCTTCCGCAAATGAAGACAAGAAGGAAGACGAAAATTCAGCCGAGAACAACTTGAATAATTTGAAGTCCAGTTTGTCGCACATCCAGTTTGTTGAAGGTAGACCAGATATGGAAGCGTTGGTTAGAGATGAGATCACCGTTGCTAGTGGTTCCTTGGCTGTCGTCGCTTGTGGTCATGACGGTGCTGTGGATGATGCCAGATACACTGTGGCTCACAACTTGGACAAATCAGCTCACCGGGTTGACTTTTTCGAAGAATTACAGGTCTGGACTTGAGTGCTCCAAGGTGGACCACTTATTTTTTCAACACTCCAAGCCACCCTCGCTAACAATTGACATGTTTACTTATCACATTCAAGTATTTCTGTAACTTGAGGATATAAGGTTTCCCCTACTTATGTAGTGTCGGGGTCTATAAATAATTTTTAACTATGTCCACTGCATGTGACGTAACATAATTATAGACACTAGGAGAAGGCGTGCGTTCCCCGACAGGGGTATCGGACACGCGCAGGAATCCTGTAAATTTTGCCCATGTTATTTCACGGAGGCACGGTTAGGAAACAATAACATTCTTTGGTCAAAAAGTGGCGCCCGTCAGATCCCAGGATTCGAGCACGTTGCTTGAAGCTTCACTGGACTAGAGACCCTATCTGAATGGATCACAACGCCACCTATGGCTTAGACTAGTGGACTAATAATACAACTTGTAGGATAAAACTCAGATGAAAGGTAACGCTACTCGTGATATATCCGGTAGATAATAGCGGATATTTTTGACTAGATAGAAGAGAGTGCTTTTAATTCGTAAAATATGCATAAGGGTAGCCTGCGACCTCATATACTGAGGCGGATACAATACCTGGGCGCCCGTCTACCGAAAGTAAGGAGATAACGATCGCCGACGTCGGTCAAGGTAAATGTCACCTTTACTACAACAGAGAATTTCTTCATTGTCTAAAATCCTTCGTGAAATCTCTTGTGATTACAATTAGTTTCTCTATCTGTTCGGGTCGGCACCTGTTTCTCCACCCGCCCGTACCGGCACTTGAGCTATTCGCTAGGGTCAAAGTTTGGGTTCCGATCGTCTCGGTTCAGCACTCGATTCTCTCGTGTTAGAGGACAGATTTTGATAACCACTTTTACTCAATCCTGGTGGCCATACACTATATACAACCTCAGAGACCTCTTTGATATTATCCATTCACCACTTACACTAAAATATTTTCTACACAGAGCACTGAGAAAATAAGCATCGCTAGGCCACGGTTATGCGACGCGCATTTGCATGCATAGGCATAAGTGCATGAAACAGACGGGATTACGAAAAATTACGTGAAACAAGTATCGGTAATGGTCAGCCAAATTAGCCAAGTCTCCCTGCATTGTTCAGAAGTTTTCACTAAAAGCAGAACATGCACTGTCACAGCTTCGTATTTCTGGTCTCAGCCATGGCCATTGTTTGTAATATTGCCTTTTTCGTGACTGGGCGGGCGGAATGGTTCTTGGCCTAACCTCGGGTAGTTTTGGTAGAGGTACCACCGATATACCCCGACTTTTGGGATACGCTTGATGTGCATAGCATGGACGAGAGATGAGATCCTACTCTAGGAACAATAAGGGTATCCCTACTTCAACCGACTGCTGGTTTCGATTTTATCCCCCCGCCTTTCAGCATGCGCGATAACTCTGCTCATGTGGTTCCCAGAAACAGTTTGTACCCTTTATTTTGAACAGTTCAGACGATAATAGAACACCGTGTAAAGAGATTCCATCTAAATCTGGTTGTGCACAAACATGCTTATTCTTAGTTCTGCAGGTGCTGGGCATAGCCCAATCCCTGCGCCGTCTCAAGGCGGATCAATTTCCTATACGGCGCAGGTAAATAAACTTTTCTCCTTGTTCCTGACTTCGGGAAATCCCCCCTGGTGGGTTTTAGTCATACAGTGTGATCCAAAATGGACAAATATCACCCAGATTTGGAATAAACCGGTGCATGCAAATTAGAAAGAGGTATAAGATGCCTTATTTCGTGGATGAATCTGCCTGCTATAAAATAGGAGCCTTTTCCAGTAATTTTGTCGTGGTTCAGCAGCAGTATCGGCATTTCTATCCAAGAGAACCAAAACCTATTGTACACCTAACATATACGTACAAAATTCCCAAACATGGTCAGACATTTATCCATCAACATGCTAGCCACGGCTGCGTTCTCCTTAGGGAGTGCAACGTGCTATGTGTACGAAATCTACACCTCCCAAGACTACGCCGTCATGGCGTGCTCCGGGGTTATCGAGGCAACAACCACCTTTTGCCCAAAAAGCGCATACGGCGAGAACTGCTACTGCGCTAGTGTTCCAGAAATGGGATCGCTCTTGACGTGTTTGCACGACATGGGCTACTATAATGACAAGATGGTTGCGCACCTTGGTCACGTCTGCGCTGTCAACTACCCAAACACCACGTTGGATTCTCAATTCTTCGACGCCGTCTACCAGAATGCGTCCAAGTACATCATCACCCCACCGGCCGGTATGAATGCCACTCTTATTTCCTACTCTCCCATCACCGTCGAGCCAAAAGAGGTGAAGGTGTACTACCAGTCGTACTACAACAGATGGAACAATTTTACGTTGGCACTCAATTTAGGTGCAGGGTTCATTGCGTTGTTGACTTTGTTCATGGTTATGTCAGGTATTGCCAACTGGGCAGTGTTGTTGTGTCCTAGCTTGGTCATGCGCCTTAACGGATCCTTCTCTAAGGCGTTGAAAAGGCACGTTACGCTTCCGGCTATGTATTCCACGAACAAGAACGCGCCACTCAAGCTTTTCGGCCTTCCTTTTGGGCTTCTTCCTACAAGAGCCGAGTCATTGATTATTTTTCTGCTCTGGGTGTACATGATTTTGGGAAGCAGTATTGGGTTCCATCATGTCAGCGGCAATTTTATGTGGAACAGAGCAATGTCAGAAATGGGTAACCTTATCGGTGATAGGGCAGGTATGTTGGCGCTCTTTGTGTATCCTATGCTGATCTTGTTTGCGTCAAGGAACAACGTCTTGATGTTCTTCACCCGGTGGAGCTATACCAGGTTTAATACCTTACACAGACACATGGCTCGCATATTTCTTGTATTGGTTATGGCTCATGGAATTGCCATGACCATTAGCATGATTGGAGTTTCAACAGCCAATTACAAGGAAAGTTTGACTGGTTACGTCTTGTGGGGTATTTCCGCGGCCAGCTTAATGGGATTCATTGTAATTCAATCCATACTCCTTGTGAGAAGAAAGTCCTACGAGGCCTTTTTGATTGTGCACATTGTGCTTGCAATCGCCATTTTAATTTCTATCCATTACCACATCAACTCCTTTGGTCTCCAAGGCTTTACCTGGTCTACCATCGGTATTTGGGCTTTGGATAGGGTTATCAGATTGATTCGCATGTTTAGCTTTGGAGTGAAGGAGGCGAGCGTCAAGTTGATCGCTGGGGAAACTGTGAAGGTGACGGTACCAAAGCCAAAGCACTGGAATGCAAAGCCAGGTCAGTATGCGTTTGTGTCCTTCATGATGCCAGCTTGTTTCTGGCAATCGCACCCATTCACCGCAATTTCCACCAACGAAAATGAGCTCAGTTTTGCTATCAAGGTCAAAGGTGGTGTCACCCTGAGCTTGTACAAGCACTTGGTTTCCATGCCTTCTCAGACCGCAAAGATTAAGGTGTGCATCGAAGGACCTTATGGGTTCTCATCCCCAGCTCAGAAATACAGCCAGTCGTTGTTGATGGCGTCGGGTAACGGTATCCCCGGTATGTACGACCATGCCATGAGATTAGCTACTACCAGCACGAAGCACTCTGTCAAGTTGATCTGGATCATGAGAAACTACAAGTCTCTTTCTTGGATGTACGAAGAGATGAAGAAGTTGGGAAGTACCAAGGTTGAGACCATTGTGTACGTCACCAGACCTAATGATTTTATAAGGAAAAACCTTGAACTTTTCGGTACCGATTCCACTGGTTCTGAATCGGACAGATACGACGAGAGTAAGGAAGAGGTCAGAGTAAAGACCGAGATAAACAGTGTGCATAAGTTGCAGGAAAGTTTGCCACACATCGAGTTCAGAGAGGGCAGGCCAGATATTGACGGTATCATCGTGGATGAGATTTCTCTGGCCCAAGGGAGTGTTGCAGTTGTCACTTGTGGCCATGATAGCATGGTTGATGCAATTAGACATGCCGTTGTGAATAGCTTAGACGCCACTTCTCATCGTGTTGATTACTTTGAGGAATTGCAAATTTGGGCATGAGTCTAAAGTTACATGGAGTTAAGATAGTTGTCGTCAGTTTCATTGGATTTTGAAAATTTTAAAAACATGTATCTCAAACTGGAATAATTAGTGGATGTTATTGCATGTGCAAGACCGGATTATCCTCGCTAGACGTCTGTTACCTGGCCCATTCATAGAATAGCCAGTTAGGGAAGAGGGTTTGGCTCGTGAATACATCCCTCACGTATCCTGAGCCAACCCTGGTTTTCCTTTTCCGCATTCGGAGGTATCGGATGCACGCAGAGATTTTGCAAATATTGCACGCATGCCTCGCGGAGTCACTCGTCTTCAAAACAGTGCCACTCACTAACCGAAGACGTGAGACCTGAAAAATGCTTACTTATGTTGAAAGCTTGTTTCTCACATAGAACACCGCAAAACAAGCATTACGGAGTCTGGATTATGTAGTGTGCATGTAAAAGCATTTGATGCATATGAAATGAGGCTACGAAAGGCTCAAAATGGAAACCAGAATTCATTGCTCTTATGCATATTAATTCTAAAGAATTTCTACTGACCACCTCCTGTGATCGTCTCTAGTAATATATCTATTCCTTTACCTATGATCTCTATACAAACCAAGAGCTTTGAAGTATATAACAGTCTGCCCAATTGGCCATGCTTCTTGTATTCAATCATTTCACACGGAAGAACCATCATGTGGTATATATAGTAGGTAATAGTGGATACTGTTAGCTAGCTAAAAAAGAATACTTCGTATGTAAGATATCTACAAGAGAAGGGTAGTCGGCGGCCTTATATACTGAGGCGGATACGATACCTGGGTGCCTGTCTACCTGAGGTAAGGAGATAACGATCGCCGACGTTCGTCTAGGTAGATGGCTCCTATTCTATGAAAGAGAATTAATTCATAGTCTAAAATCCTTTGTAAAATCCTATGTGATTACAGTTTGTTTCCCCATCCGCCCTTATCGGCACTTGAACTATTCGCTAGGGTCGGCGTTTAGGTTCTAATCGCCTCGGTTCAGCACTCGATTTACTCGTGTTAGAGAACAGGTTTTGATAACCACTTTTACCCAGTCCTGGTAGCCATGAACTATACCACATACAACCTCAGAAACCTCTTCTCTGACATTATCCATTCATCACTTACACTAAAAGATTATCTACGTAGAGCACTGAGAAAACAAGTATTGCTAAACCACAGTTGTACGACGCTCATTTGCATGCATATGCATAAGTGCATGAAACAGACGGGATTACGAAAAATTACGTGAATCGAGAGGCGTGAAATATGTGTCGGTAATGACCAGCCCAATTAGCCAAACCTCCCTGTGTTTAGAAATTTTCACTAAAAAGCAGAACATGCACTGTCACAGCTTCGTATTTCTGGTCTCAGCCATGGCTATTGTTTGTAACGTTGCCTTTTTCATAACTGGGCGGAATGGTTCTAGGCCTAATCTCGGGTAGTTTTGGTAGAGATACCACTGATATACCCCAACTTTTGGGATACGCTTGATGTGCATGGCATGGACGAGAGATGAGATCCTACTCTAGGAACAATAAGGGTATCCCTACTTCAACCGACTGCTGGTTTCGATTTTATCCCCCTGCCTTTCAGCACTCGCGGCAACTCTGCCCATGTGGTTCCCAGAAACAGTTCGTACCCTCTATTTTGGCCAGTTCAGACGATAATAGAACACTGTAAAGAAACTCCATCTAAATCTGGTTGTGCACAAACATGCTTATTCTTAGTTCTACAGGTGCTGGGCATAGCCCAATCCCTGCCCCGCCTTAAGGCGGATCAATTTCCTATACGGCGCAGGTAAATAAGCTTTTCTCCTTGTTCCTGACTTTGGGAGATCCCCCTGGTGAGTTTTAGTCATGCAGTGTGAGCAAAAATGAGTAAATATTATCCAGATTCGGTATAAACAAGTGCATGCAAACTAAAAATTCGAATATGATTTAATATCCCACGGATGGATC